AAGGGGTTAAGTGAACACAATGTACCGGTATATCTCCAGTACATGTATACAGCATACATCAGAGAAAATAACACATATGGAGAAGGCATAGGGTAACAATCAACACAAATACTGCATATAAGTGCATACTGTGTCTATAGCTATATTATGATGTGGCTCTACTGTCACTACTGGTCATGGACAAAATTGTTGGGACACCTGTCAATAGCCATATCCTTTCCAGGTCCCCTACTCCCCCCCGGTCCATGTTGTCATCTGGAGCTGGAGCGCAGACCACGCAGCGAGACCCCGCACTGAGAGGGGGCCTGGGGGTGGGGTGACCGACGAGATTTGGTGAGGATTGTCTGAATTGGTTCAAAGGTGTGTATGCACATATACTATGTCATTTTGCATGTGCTTTCTAGCGTTGTTCTTAGAAAACCATCAAATGGCGGCTGGCGCTTGAAGGGAAGGTATATTTTGGACAAATTGTACATGTGCAAGTGAAATAAAAAGGAAGAAAAATATTAATTTTGTATTATGCATGTCTGATCACAACTATGTGGTAGGAGTAAGTTCGTCGTATACATTTTGTCCCATAACTGTCCAAAATTGATGCATTTTTTAATTTGAAAGGCCCATTCTGGTACAGAAATAACTTACAATCCTGTGGGATTTTTCTCATTTCGTAATTCCGATATTGGCTTGAAAAAAATGCAACGATGATTCATCAAAAGCCCCAAAAGAAAGTTGGAGACTCAAATTCTTTACTGATGTGTTGTGACGCACCGTTGTTACTGTGCCATGTATACATGTACATCATGAGCGCCGCGTTTTTGAGGGCATGTTTAACGGTACATGCTCTGGTCGGTGAAGGTGAAGAAATACAATCATTACAATCTTGTCTTTGAGCAGCATAGATAATTCACAAATATTTCTATGCACTATTGGCTAAATATCCCTAATACGTCAGCTTGCTGCCATTGTTAGTTAACAAAGGTGAAATCTGGAGTCCTTTATTCTATTGTCCTATTGACCGTATCCAAGGACAGAACGTCAGCAGGACCTTTCCCCATACAAATAATACCAGTAGGCACGTATGTAAAACTCAGACTGGACAAAATTGTTGGGACGCACGTCAATAGCCATACTCTTTCTAGGTCTCCCACTCCCTCTCCCCCGTCAATGTTGTCATCTGGAGCTGGAGAACAGATCGCACTAGTGAGACCCAACATTGAGAGGGAGCCTGGGGGTGGGGTGCCCATCAAGATTTGACCAGGATTGTAGCTACATGTACTGTCCGTGTACACGGGAAACAAACTCAAGTCTCTACCGTGACAATCTGCTCGACACACTGCTTACCCCATGTACGTGTGTGCCAATCGTGAATAAACCTGGCAACTGCGCTACAAATTGGAATACAAATAAGCCGGGGCACAGAGACGATTTGCGCAGTGCTCACTAAATAAGTAGGTCGGGAGGGGGGGTTGAGTCCTGTCCACACCCACTGTACAGGTAGCTTGTGAAATTTTTCCACGATGTCTCTGAAACCAGCTGTCCTGAAATTCCTTGGACTGTGAACACATGCCCTCTTAAAACCAACAAATCTCCTCTGAATGGTGGGGACTGGCACAGTTTTTCACACCAATTGTTAGCAGTACTTGCACTTTATTTTTACAAGACATTCAGGAGAGCTCATTTCATCTTTTCGTTTTCCTGATAGGGATCTATTTACAGGTCCAACTGAGCTGTCACCTGAGCTTGAGCTCCCAGAAAGGCCATCAATCATTCACTGTCACAACGAATACATCTGGCCTTTGGTCAGTGCACTGCTGCCACTATTTACAGTGGACATTTTATGTCGGCAATATCTCATGGCCTGCTCTTAAACGCACATGTCCGCAATGGGCAAAATTTAGCACCAAAGATGAAAAGTTTATGTTCATTTTGAAGCTCTGTTTGCAAAACAAATTCTTTTTAATTTCATATCAGTCTGCATTTAAACAGAGGATTCCTTTTTAGAAGTTTTGATTTTTTAACTGGATAACAAGGAACGCAAAATTTTGCCTTGGGAGTTTCAGTAATAAGTTTACAAGCGTCCAGACAACATAAAGCCTGAGTGAAGTGCAGGCCATTTTCATTCACTTCATGATCGATGCAGCAAGTGATCCAGGAGTAAAAAAGGCAAAAGTTAATTGTTCATGTTACAAGGAATGTAAATATTGGTAAAATGCAGGAAACTCCTACAAACTGAATGTCGGCATTTTGATCCTGACAGAATCTCAGAGGCCTCTGCTGTGATCAAGTATCATATTGAATACCCCAATGTTCACAAGCCAGAGCTTTTACCTTCAGTTTTGGTACGCTAACATCAGTCCGAATCCTCCTCCGCCATCAGAGATGCAGTGGAGATTGGTTCATCACACTTTACACAGCCTGCTCATTTCCCTTGAATTCCAAGTCTCTGTGTGCGGAAGATGCCTTTTTTTCCCTCCCCAATGCAAAACAGAGCAGCTGCTGAATGCTCGCGAGGGGGCCGCTCCGTCCAGGCGGTGGTACTGCTGTCGTTCGCTGCACTTTTTCTTCTTTCGAATGCTCCACTTACAATGCGGGGAGTACAGATGACACTGACTTATGAGTATTCCTCGTCACTGCTCGCTGTCTATTGCAAGGCCTGAAATCATGGGGCACAGCCTAGGACGAGCATGTACAGAGTGTGCACCGGAATGGGTGCACAAAAAAATCATCCCCCAATTCAGCCAGGCGACTGGAATCGTTTCTAATGATGCTCATTCAACGTCTGCAAGGAGGAAAATTGGACGTGTGATCCACGCTGTGCCCCGAAGGCCCCGACTTTTCTTTAGTCAGGCGAGTGCACTCCAGAACGGAGAGAGCGACAGAGAGTTAAAAAGCTCCGTTGGTCGGAAATGTTATTTTCCACTCAAGAGATTTTCGCCAGCGAGGATGAAAAAAAAAAAAAAGTCCAAGAACGGGAGGTAATCTTTTTTGCAGTGAGTGTGGAGGAGCTCTCTTCAGTGGGGTCCTCGCATGTCTCTGCCTGCTGCCAAGCCTCTTCAGTCGATACTGAGGTCTTCATCACTGACGCCCATGGGCAAGTCAGCGATTGATTCCCCACCATTTGGGCAATTTGTCACCGGGTGCTGAAAAAAAACCCACAATCACCTCACCGCTCTTTGACAGGGGGGGTTGGACAATGGCATTTCATGACAGTAGGAAAGGCCGGGACATCATCAGCTGGAGAATGATGAGTGCATTGCATTGCAGTAAGGAAATGTTAAACACATTCTGCTGACGAACGGGTAAATTGAGGGAACACGAAAGACCCCCCCCCCCGACTAACACCAGGGGGAAATCGAGGATGCGATGCGAAATGAAGATGGGCACTTCCCTTTAGGGCCGCAGTCCCAAAGTGGTCTTCCAACAAGCCTGAGGGCCAAAACCAAAGATGACGAGAAGAGCTGGACAAACACAGCTTGCAGAAACACTTGATTGCCCGCCTGGGAAAACTTTACTTCGTTTGTTTTAATTACTCACTAATGCATGAGTCAATTGACCGCATGCATGCATTCAATAATCCAGCACAAAGCTTGAGGCAAATCCATGCAATCGCACTTTCCCTTTGACTACCCTTGTGCCTATGTGAAAGCCACACGTACACTGGCCCACACACAAATTCAGCAGCAGTATCATTTTCAGGCAGAGAAGCATTCCAAGGGGGGGGTTTCAATCACACACAGTGCACAATGTCACTGACCACACTGCAAACAACTGGGGTGTTAAATTTAACACCCCCCCCCCCCGGTTATCAGAGGACAACACCAACACTTTTCACGGGTGTTGAAAAACAAAACAAATTTTGGTGTTATTTGGTGTAACACCCTCCAGTACATTGTAACACTTATAGGTGTGCAAAGTAACATCATCGGTGTCAAAGTAACACCCTATGGTGTGGTCATCTGATAACACCAAAAAGTGCTGATTTTAACACCAGAGTTTTTACAGTGCAGGGTGTGCGTACCTGGGGCATACATTCACGAGGAAGTGGATGAATAACAGAATGGAACTCTTACGCATGATCCGGCCAAGTTGCTATTTTCAGCGTATCTCTCGATTAAGCATACTCGTGCACGCAGTGCATTGATGATTTTTCTCATGATATTTGTGTCACTTTAAAAAAAAATGCACTCTCAGGTTAAAAGCAACAAAAAAACCTCTGCACTGTCACCCGACTGTGATGGCACACACAATTACATAACAATAAGAGTGGACATAATAAGGGACTGTGCTTATCAAGCCACGCGAAGCCAAAATGCACTGATGTCATTGGGATGGAAACATCTTTGAAATCCTGACAACTGTTGGGCTTGAACACTCATGCTACGAGTGAAATACATGTACATACATACACACATGTACCGATACATTTAAGCTGGCCCTGCCTGCAGTAAAATACCACACAAGGCAATTCGCTCCATTTCCTGACCACAACTGCTCCTATGTATCCTCAGATAAAAACTAAAAGCAACCTTGTACTCACCGCAATAATGCCCACCAGCCTGGCGTTGTCTGACCCTAGCACAGGGATGCAAGCAACTGTGGACCAAAGCAGATGAAAAAGAATGGCTTAAAAAGAGTTGTTATATGTTCAGCTGAAAACTGAATTGAAACTTGTCCTGAAAACGACAACATGTTCAAAGAAATGGGTTTTAATTTTGTCCCCATTTTACAAACTGCTAGATCTTGAGAATACCATCATACAGAGCGATCAGTGCAATTACTTTAAACAGCCTTGAGAAAAAAATTCAAGGATTGTCCTGATTTCCTCACTCCGTGCAGGCAAACCAGCAAAGAAATTTCAGATTTTGAGTTTTTTCCCTACAACTGCTTTGAGAAGAAATCCTTGTCAAAATCAGCTCCAGGAGAATAAAATTGAGCATTTATATTAAACCAGACAATACTGTACAAATACATGTAAATATTGCATCTCTGCAGCACACTTATAAATATAAATAGTGAGCTTAGAGGCAGATGTTGACAGATCTAGCCAATTGGAGCAAATTTGCCCAGATTCGTTCAATTAAAAACTGCTCGTCCCCGGGACAATATGTAAATTCCTCTTCGCAATCATCCCTCGTGCAATGGGTTCAACAGCTGCGGGCCTCGTGAGAATCATCGGTCCCTCACCAGCAAAATATCCGGATCCACTCCTCACGATTAAAAACACTCCCAGACAATCCGCTGGAAATCCACGGGTCACGTCCAGGAATGCCTCCTTTGAAAAAAAAAAAAAACAGCCAAAGAGCGGTGACAAGAGGAAAACAGGGCAGAGAATGGACTGCTCTGGATTACGATTCAGGAGGCCTGGCGGTGGCTCGGCATTCCTGGCTCTATTCTCCGGGCTCAGCACAGCAAGCTATTCACGAATCGTGACTACACAAGCCTCATCCGGTGAGCGTGCAACACCCTGGCTCGGGCCTGGATTTCCCGTGTGGATAGCCCTTTATTGTGTGGCAGTCACAAAAACGCCGATTGATGTGTGTCCTCCTGACTCGACCATCAGCGCTGATCTAGGCCCTTAAGTGATGCCATTTCTGACACTCCGATTCTCATCATTACAGCAACTTTTTTTTCTCCCCTCCTACTCCTACTGTCCACAGCGCTGTTGGCTTACAGGACGACTGCACGCACACGCTGAACGCAGCGCACACACACATACATGTACACACACACAAAATCTCCAGGAATATTTGAACACGACCGTTCCCCGGGTTTTTGAACTTTAAACTAAGCAGCCATTGGAAGCACTTTATAACAAAATCATTTCTCTCTCTGCGCTCGCCTCTATTCGATACACAAATTAAAGATCCGTGAAGCAGCCAAATTGGATTAGTGGCGGCGATGATTGGATTAAGGCAGCATGGTGGGTCCAGGGAACATGTGTGCCGTGTCCCGCTTCTGCGGTCTCAGATGTCTGGGCCGCTGCATCAACGCCGGTAATTTCTCACCCCCTTCTTCGCCGACGACGGTGGTGGGCGGTTTGGCAAATGCCGAGAAACGGGTCAGAGCCTTGTGAGCGACAACCAACATCCGCCGCCACACCACTCCTCTTGCAAGGGCAAATTCCCCTCCCCCCAACTCTTTTATGGAGACAATAATTTCATAACTGCCAGGGTTTCCAGGCGTTACTTGCAATAAACCATCATCAGCAGATATCCCAGGGCTGCAGGCAATATATATGTGTGTGATGAAGGATCCATGGATAAATGGGCGGAAAATTAAAGCAGTACACTCTAACCCAAATCACTGTGCCACAAATTGTGTTATCCCACTTTTCTATAAAAACAAATGGCACTACAAACGGGATGACCTTGTGAACCAAATACATGTATACTCCGATATGCTGACTGAAATGCTATTCAAAATTTTCAGTTTAACAACGCCATCATAAAAATGGGCCACTTTGTAAAATTGTGGATTACACAAAGATAAGAGTAGTGTTGGAGTGTTGCAGTGTTGGAGTGTAAGTTACTGTTGATACTCTGGATGAAAGTGGCCAGTCTGCCCAACAGTAGGCTGCAGATGCATTGTTTTCAAGCAATACTGGAAGATATGTAACGGTCTCAGTCCTAGAAATCAATAGACCAAACTGTAACGGTACATTTCACAGTATGCTTGGAATGTATATACCATTTGCACAGACATGCACAGCAAAAATTTGAAGAGAAATATGATGCAACTACTGCATTTGTTTTCTTGAATCTCCTTTTCAGCTGTGCGGTCAACACCTTTGAAGACACGGTGGGTCTCTTTTTGATACTGGCCCTCTTCAAAAGGCAAGCAGAAAACCAGCAGTCCGCTGCCGGGTGTTTAAATTAGGTCAGATTGCGCATGTAGCGCGTTCTGGGTGAAAATATTAAAAAAAAAAAAAGGACAGAGATGGGGAAAGCTTTGAGGAAAATTCCCGACCCGTCTGGAGTTTGTTTTGCTGAGATTTTTTTTTTCCAGAGGCAGCTGTATTGATAGCGCTATTCAGGTGAATGAGGCCGGAAGCCGAGGCAAAGACAGACACAGAGAGAAAGCTGATGATGAATGTGTTGGGAAACAAAAAAAAAGAATGGGGGGTGGGGAACGAATGCGTCATCAGCACAGGGGGGTACTGACAATCAAGATGGGGAGGGGAGGTCTGAGAGGTGGAGCGCAGAAATCAAACACTCGTGGGCATGGGCGTAAATTGGGGGGGGGAGTAGAGGTTAAAAGGAGGAATTTCCATGCGACCTGAGATTTTTTAGATTTGTATTTCAATTGTGATAGCACTCATAAGCAGTAAAGAAACAAAACAGAGAAACAACTGGAATCGAAAGTATAGGGTAATCTGCTGAAGCGAGGCAAAAGTTGCACACCAGTGCTCAGAGGAAAAGAACATCAAGAGCGTGAAGTCGGAATCCAGCTTAGAGAGCTTTCTACAGCTGGGCTTTGACAGAAGAGGAAGGGAGAAAAACATTCAACCTAAGGTTTTCTGGAGGGAGGTCTGTTAAAATGAACAAATGACTTCACTGGGTAGCAAATATGATTACCTTATTGTTTCATCAAGGCACGTTTTTGTCTTTTCAAAATTTCATACAAACCAGGGCGACGTGGAAACGAATCAGTTCTGGGCAGAGTAGAGGATTCTTGTGCTTGTAATTTGGGGCAGGGGTGGGAAAGAGGAACCATCCACTTAGAAGGGCTGAGTGGTACATTTAGAAGAAGCGGAGTTTCACTGTCTCCTTCCCCTCTTGGGAAGGAGGAGTAAGACAAATTTACAAACCATAAGAGCGTGAGATTAGGCCATACCCGGACCTCTCGACAAACACAGACAAAATGGCTCATGAATGAAACATGGCTGATCAAAATGCATGGCCAGTCTATTTTTTTTTTTTCCTGCATGTTTGAACTGCCCTCCCCAAAGTTAATAATACGATTCTTGCACGAGCGTCGCTGTCCGATCGATCTGCAGTAGCTACGGTGTTTGCCTTGGTTGGAGACTGTCCTTTTTCCTTGGTGGCAAAGAACAACTCGTGCAATAATAACAGGCCATGACAAAGGTGACACGTATACATTTTCTGGCTGTCAACTTTTCCGGGAGTCCCGGAATTTTCTTTCTTTTTGAATATATTAATGCTAATGCGGGTAGAGTCCCCAAGAGTGTTCTGCCTTTCTTCTTTTGCTCTCTCTCTCGTCCGAGTATTTTCAGGGCACCTGGCTTCATAATTGAGCTCACAGAAGAGGGATGTAAAAATATTGACATACTCTCAGGGCCAGACAGTTGGCAAGAATTTCCAGATGCATTCTTGTTTTTCGAATTTGTCAATCGTGCCTGTTAATCGTGAATGGTGTGGGGCTTAGTCGGGGTACTATTTCACAATTGACATTTTAATGTATGGTATTAATGTACATTGGGTCATATTTTCTCAACAGCATGACCTTTTGACTTGTAACAATATTCAGCTGCCCATAAGGCAATAATGCTTCATTGCAGCTGAATTTCAGCTGAATTATCACTACATGCATTGTTTCCGTAACTGTGAAGAAGTGTAACAGGAACATCTCTGTTCCTTTTTATCACTTTAAAAAAATTCAAAGAACATGAATACATGCATTAATCACATACAGAAAGCCAAAAATGTCCCAGTATAATAATTTTAAATTTTGTGGATTTTTGCCCAGCCTGACGTGCATTTTACCGCTGTATACTCAGTGTATGCCCCTGAGAGCTTGTGAAAAAAACACAAGCGTACTCGGGTGGGACTCGAACCCACGACCTCCTGCTTACTAGTACAGACATCGTAACCCCTCGACCACCGAGTTTGTCGGTGTTGGCTGGCTGGTTCGAGTCAGATGTAGCGGCAGGTACTGTGAACAACTATTTCAAAGATGGATTTACGCCGGGGAGATGTTCACAGTACCCGCTGCTACATCTGACTCGAACCAGCTAGCTGACACCGACAAGCTCGGCGGTCGAGTGGTTAACACGTCTGCACTAGTAAGCTGGAGGTCGTGGGTTCGAGTCCCACCCTAGTACGCTTGTGGTTTTTCACAAGCTCTCGGGGGCATACGCCGAGTATACAGTGTTCAAATACACGTCGGGCAGGGCAAAAATCCAAAAATTAATTTACATCTCCCCGGCACAAATCCATTTTTGAAATATTAATTTTTGATGGATACATATGATGTAATATGAACGTAACATCACATCCAAACTGTGATTAAAAAAATTTATAAAAACAAGTACAAGTCAACAGATGCCAGATGTGTATTGTAATATATTAATAGTTTCCCTTATTTACTCATCAAAAGCCACATCACTAGTGTCATTCCCTCCAATAATAATTGACAGTTTGGCATGTGAGTATGAATCAGAGGCCAGTTCCCACAAAATGAGCCTTGGTGTTTCATTTAGCACTAAGAGTTTTACTCTGTTCTTCATTTTGACATGAATCAGTTTTCACAGAGCTACTCAAATTATGTGGTTGAAATAACAACCATTCCACCTTAGTTTTATTGTGCAACATTATGAAATTTCTTCTAAGACTTGTATTACTCAAAAAGTGCACAGACGACGACATGCAATTCTTGCTGTTAGATTGGGTCACATACATGTAACTTCTTTTTTCAGACACGAGAATGTGAATGTAACATGCATGTATCTGTATCAAGAGGTCTTTGGCAGCACATCTGGATCGGTTGTTGGGTGTTGAGATGAAGAGGGGGGGGTGCAACCGAACCAAAGCCTTGTTTAATTTCCCAAGTCTGTTAATGTTTACAGGACGGAGCCAATTAGAAACACAAAGTGTCAGGCGGCTCGTGTAATCAATACATCAACCATGCTGATACTGGCAGAGAGATCGTGCATGAGAGACGGCCTGGATTTCCGGCGGTCACATGTACCATCTTCTTGTGAAAATGAATTCATCTCACACACTTTAAGTAGTAGTAGAAATAAGGGTATAGTACAAAGTCATGCATTAATTTAGCCAAGGGTCTAAGAAAATGCTAACTGCATTCAAACAATCTCTTGATCGTTTCTGTCAGTCAGTGTCTGCCAGTGCACGTGTACCAGTTGGTGAACCTTTCATTAGTGAACAAACCCTCACGATACATGTATCCACACTCATCAAATCAAGTACAGTGTACATCTGGGTCACTTCGTTTATTTTGCTGCTTCGTTCATTTGTCCAATTTTAATTGCTATCATGCGCGTGCAGATTTCAATGGAGAGTGCAGTTTCCAAGCGCAGTATATATGTCGGTGCTGAAAATGGAAATTGGTCGTGATGCAGACGTATACGTGCATCACATTCAGCTAAGCACGCGCTAAGATGGTAAGAAATGGTCACGCTCATCTCTTGTTCCCCTTACTGACATTCAGGTTGTCCAGGCAGGAGAGCATGTTCAATCTTTCAACTGCAGTGGGGTTCCTACATGTACTTCCCTCATATCTAATATCCATGGGCTATTATAAATTCACCTGTTGGTCCCCACATTGAAACTGGGGATTTGAAAGTCATCAATATGTTTTTGGAGGTACTATGTGTATGTATGTTTACACTGAATGTAAACGGAATGTTTCTCATTTTTTTTTAATCCGACATGAAATAAGATTGGTGAAACTTAAACATGTTTGTAAAAAGGCCAAGCTTGGCAACTTCTTCTTAAGCACAACGTGGATGCATACGGCTTGGCATGCTACCAGGCTGTTTCTCTGGGTGGGCGAACACTATCCTCTTTCTTTGTAATTTGACTTGTGATGAACTTAAACACAATACACCTTGAAGTTTAGCCTACTTATTTCTCTTATACTTTTTTGAAGTTGATAGGCTGTACAGCGTGAATGAAAGGTGGCGGTTATTGCTTGCAAGAGCTGACTGTCAAACTTACATACACACTGGTATGTTATTTGTTAAGCAGAGTGTACACCAGGCTATGCAATGAAAAACCCATTTTTGAACTGACAAAGACGTTAAAACCAGACAAGAAAGATACAGCGTACATCTCCAATCTAGTCTCAGTTTTTATAACCGGCTGTGTGCATATGTATATGGTCCATCTTGTGCCCTTACAGGAGAACCACTAGCTTCGATTCAACGATGCATGTACCTATGCTGACCATACAATTCCTGACATTCGAGAAAGGAAACGTACACAGTAACGCAGATGTACTATGAAGAAGTACACGTCAGTCCCCAAACATCATTGGCCAACACAACAAAGCAAAGTTCAATGATTAGCTGTACAAGGAGGTCATCCTGGATGCAAAGGGAGATGCCAAGAAGGATGGGTCAGATCAGGGGGACGCCACACGGACAAGACGAAACTGCGACACTGACACTACAGCAGTTCCTCCTGGATCACCAATTCAATTAGTGGTGATCGAATCAGGATTTTAGTCAGTGAGCCGGGATATTGTGTACATGTAGTTGAAGACTCGCGGGCAGGAAGGCAAAGAAGTTAGGTCTGTGGCAATACAGTGGTCAAACGTGGAGGTGGGAAGGACAGGGGTGTGAGGAGGACAAGTTAAGGCTTCGGATTTGTGGCAGGGGTGGGCCAATGTGAAATGTCTCCATTCCCACAAACAATTAGCTGTTTGAGCCTGGTATGACTCTACTGAGTCGTATACATGTACGTGTACTGGTCCTGCCCAGGAAGCAAAGATAGCAAATACATCATGGACGCATTATTATTGGGCACCTGCAATATCAAATAAAATGTTCCAGAGTTTCAAGAACGCAATTCGTCATCTTTTTTTTTTTTAAACACTTTCCAGAATCCTGAAGTTCAGTGCCTGTACCTTGCAGCTGCTCATTTATAACTCTGATGAATGTAGCCTTGGAATATACGCAAGAGTACTCGTCAGGACATACATGCAGTGGTAGGTTCTGACTGTAACAATAATTTCCACCCTTCCTTCCTTCAATGTACATTTAATGAAATACATGCAGCAATTACTGTGCTCGTACATGTATGTACATATACATAGCACTGTTTGCATGCCGTATCAACACAGGAAGAAATATCTGAAAGAACAAATACATCGACTTCGTTGACAGTGACGTAGGCCCACTTAACCAAACAGCAACCGAAATATACAGCAGTGAAATGAGAAATACTGAATTGCAATGAAGTCCCGAGCAGCAATGCATCGATAGTATCTACCTGGCTCAGCCAGCCATGGCCGGCCCGAGGGCCCAGCAGACAAAAACCGCCCCCCCGATATTCGACTGATAGGAAAGCCCTTGTCCCGACGACTCGCCGCGGTAACCAATTGCACGCGGACTCTGATCGCAATCGCCAAGGCAATTCCTCGCCAATTAAAAATGGAAGGTTCACAAAAGCAGTGCAGGGTACAGGAGGAAAAAATTGGGGCTGGGAGGGAGCGGGGGGAAGAAGACGGGAAGGATAATTTAGAGAAGCTGTTGGGAATATCAGAACCAACGGGAGTGGAGAAGTATTGAGTAGGATGTAATTAAGACGAGCGAGATAGAATCACAGCAGGGAATGCTGGGAACCAAGAGAGAGGAGGTCCTCATGAGGCATACTTGAGAGTGTAAAGATAAACCATGACCAGGGGCCATTGCTCCTCCATTGAGGAACACATGGTAAATAGATGCAGTCTCTCTGGATTCCAGACAAAAATAAAGCGCAAGCACCCAACGTAATTGGAGACTGAACCGAGTATCTGGTTGAGATTTTGCAAGTGTAACCAGGGAGCAAACTTTTGGGGCAAACTGCAAATAAATTGCCCTTATTTATTTGGAAAAGACAACTGTTGGGGACGGGAAATGCAAGAAAGATGAGGTTTCCTGTAGTTTATAAATGAGCAGAACAGTGCTCAATAAACTGACCTTAAGTCTGCTTCAGTGCTTACCCCACTCACAACAGGTGTCAGAGTGACTCCTGCTCCACCCAACAAATTGGAAGAAATGGATATTCTGTCCTGTCCATCTCTTGGATCACCAAACCAGACAAAAGTCATTTGATGTTACTGCTTCCGGACACTCATTGCTACATATCAAAGTAGCCAGATCACCAAGACAAATTGACACTTGAGAAACATTGAAAAGGGTTGACCCAATCTTTCAATTGGCAAAAGTTTTTTAGGGGAGATTACTCAGAAAATGGATCAACACAAAATGAGTAGATTTTTAACTTGATCAGCAATCACAAAATGGCAATATCCAATGCATTTGCTTCAAATCCTTCGGCCAATGAGGATCAATTTTTTTTGTTCAGAGCAAAACATTTATCCACTTTGATTTACTTCAATTAACAGAGTTTAATTTCAGGCCGTCTAGAAATGACAGCTACTGTATACAGACTGTTGAACGTTAGCAAGTTTTAGCAAGGACTGCTGACAATTCAGAATGCAGATCTGGATAGCTCAGCAAACATCCGAAGCGGACATCTCATCCACCCACGTGCTTCAGGAGGAAGACACACTTTTCTACTTGAGAGTTGTTTTAGGAGAGGGAGAAAAATACAAAATATGGAGCTTCGCAGTTTCAGCCTACCTGTTCTGTTTTCCGGGAGCGTGGGCGATGCACTGGGTAGCAGGCCACAGAGAGGATCCTCAATGTCTAACGCCTTGGCGACAATTAGATGCTGCTCTTCAGCACATTTCCTGTAGGAAGAAAAGGACCCCAAAAAAGGGAATCAGGAGAGTACAACAGTCACGCATGGGAACGTGCAGGGCACATGTACACGTGTGCACTTCCTGCAAATCGTGAAAAGAATGCCCCTGAGAGAGAACGCCCCAGTACTCCTCAAACCAGTTCCTTCTTTGCTCTGCACCGGATGCAATTGATCCTGAGCAGAGACACAGCTTATGAAATTCACATGAAGAAACTGTGTGATTCCGGTGTTATTAAAAATTTAACTACGAATAAGGGTGACTCGTACATGTAGCTAGGCTGCAGCGAGAGGCACACTAGACTTCCTGTGAGGACGAGATCCTCTGTACACATTACGATCGCATTCCGTCGTCATCAAGGAGGGCATCAATATCACAGCAGAATGTGAAATCATAACAGGCGGGGAAAACTAATAGTTTTAGACAAACACTGAAAGTGAACGGCCTAGAAGCGTGAGTAACTGTCTTGGAATGGGACTGACGTCCGTCAATATTTTACTGGTGATAACTGTGTATGATAATGAGGAGCTGCATACTGATCTGTTCTTACAGGTCAGGTGTCTAAATGAAACTCCTGCACTGATCATACTGAAAGCATCTCCCAAATAAATTTTTCTTGAGGAAAACAATGGCCCAGTCTTTTAGCGTTGCACAGTCTATCAAAATAGTCCGTTAACTTTGGGCTGGCAACGTTTGAAGGACAACATTTATCCAATGACTCAGTGTATGAAATCCAAGAATACTCCTCTTATCGAGCTAAAAGAAAACACTTGGCCTTAAAACTACTGCCCACTAGCAACCTCAAGTGCATGTAACGTGTCCCCTCAGCTGACTGTCCTTGCATTACCTATGCAAACACGCTCTTTGTTGCTCTTGCATCGTTTGTCCCGACTAAAGTGGATGCTTTAGCGGGTGCTTCTGGTCATTTATTGTGGGGGGGGGTTGGCCTCGAGGTGTAGGGATTGGTCAATTCGAGGAGGGGAAACGGGTCAACGCTGGACAATCGGGCAGGTTCTGATGGAGAGGTTCTGTGAATGAATTCCACTTGATAGGAAAAGGCAAGCATTGCGGTACATATTCAATGAGGACGTAAGCAAACGTCCAGCATGTATTTGCTCTTTGCACAGGCACGGAAAGCCTTGAACTAGCAGCTTTACATAAAAAAATATAGCTGGTTCAGTAAACTGGGAACAACTAAACCGGCCATATTCAATTGTGTGAAACTGCCAGTTCGAGGATCTCCATGCTTATAGCAGCAGCATATAGCGTACAAAAAGCGAATAGCTTTGATCTAACTAATTGGCTAGTTAACCTAAAAAACATCAAGACTTGCCATATACAATTCGACACTGGAGCACTTGTATAATTTGAAACAATGTCGCAAGAGTTTTGTAGATGAGAAATTCGATGAATGCCTAAAAATGGACATAATCCTATCTCAGAATGACTTCTTGGAAACCCAAGTGTGTGATCATATACTTAATTGGGTCAGGCAATCTTGGAAACCACTCTCTAAGTTGGAGGTAATTCTGGTGCACCGTTTCTCTGAACCAGAGCAACGCCATTAGGCACTCAGGGCAAGAATTCATCAAACTAATGCTTATCATAGATGCAAAAAAAAAGAAAAAAAACCAACACTCTGACACGGTGCTTACGTTCCGTTTTCTGTTTTATGCCCACAGGGTGAATGTTAGCCTTTTTTCTCAGAATTACGGGCTTTCGGACCCAGATTTCGCTAATGAAAATACTGTTGAATAAAATGAGTTTGAGTTATCTCTCCTTGATGTTTTAACGAAAAAAGGGAAGAAAACTGAAACTGTGACACACATCCTCTTAGGGCAGCTACAGAAAGCTGCGAGATGTAATGCCTCATGAGATTGCAAATGACGTGACATTTACAACCACTGCAGAGAAAACAACAGTAATCCTTGAATTTTTCTATTGCGTTCTAGCACATGACCTGAGTTAATGAATCACATGATTTGTGGCTTTAGATCTCACCTAATACTTGGAATTTAATAATGGCAAATAAAAAAGGTGAACTAATAAAGTTCAAATGAAATGGACATTTGCACAGATCCACTGGCATTTGGTTTAAAAAATGAAACAGGATTTATTACGATTCACTAAAATGAAAACTTTGTAAAGCATTCTATAAGTCCAGCATATAAGAAAAACACAAAGGGTGTAAAAGTACAAGAAGGAAACTGCTGTCAGAAGTACATTTGGGTGCAGCTTTATTGGCTTTGGACATAATTTCATAATTCACTCCTCTGCGACAGATTCAATTAGGCCTTGTATAATTTATGAGTTCATTATTTGTCAGAGAGTTTGTAATTTATTGGCATCCCCTGGTGGGCCGCAGTGAATGGACATTGGTACTGCCTGTCCGCCTGGAGAACTTGAATTAAGGCCTTGTATTTATGAAGGGAAACTCTGTGATAAATACGATCTTTGATTGCTTCAGGGTCCAGCGGGATTGTTTGCTATCGCACCGCGGTCAGACGAGGACAAGGGGAGCATCTGCACATTCCTTTTGGATAAACAAAGCACTGACGTCATTAATCACAAAAAAAAAGATTCAGGTTTTTCTTTCAATGAAATGACAGTGCAGCCAGACCATGCAAAAATGTTATGACTACTCTTACACAATAAAGAGGGAGGCAACGGGCCGTGGTTTTTAACTCCCCTTCCCCAAACGTCGAGACGGCAATGCCAGACTCATCAGCTAGATAATCACCCGCTCCTTCCGAAAACAAGCGGCCACAAATTAAATCTGGGAGAGAGCTTGCTGGCGCATGATACAACGAATGCTAATCCGGGGGGAGGGAGGGAGGAATGAATTATTTGCACAGAAACAATTGGGAGGGGGGAAAGGAGACTTGTGGTTCTTAAGAGAGCTCCGGCAACCCTGATGGGAATTGGAGCCCGGGTAGTTTGGCTGGCTTTGTCATTTGACCTATACCCATTGGTGTGGATGACCTCTGTTGTAAAAAAAAATTAATGAGACCAGAGATCGCTGTACTCTATCTCCAAGCATTCCATCACACCCTCCTGTACCATTATCAGACGGCTCCCCAATCAGACTTGGTCAGCTGGGGTGAAGCACTCGTGGCAAGACAAGAGCAGGTCATCCCCTCTGATGAGATTCTGTGCGTCGAAATTCCTTGATGAGAATCAACGGGGTTGACAAATGACGAGCTACTGGTTCCCTTGATCATTCAGGTCTTCGCGGGTAAAAAGGTGAATTCACGTCATACGTCAATAAATATTTTATCGCACGGTGGCCCCTGTCAATTCCCACTGAAATTATTCAAAGAATCTGCATTTCAAATGTGAAGACTTCTCCTGATTTTTTTGATAGGCTTCAGTATGAAATCTCCAACAAGCATGTGCTTGTATATGTACACCTAGGTTGTGCAAGCTACCGTAAGATTGAAAATACACGGGGCACTGGCCAGTCAAAATCATAGGTGATTTGTGTAAAAGGCAGTGTGCATAGGTGAATATTTTTGGTCCTACACGGACCCACTCGGTTGAGTTTACTGGGGTCCTCATACCTACCCTGCAAGGCCTGACTTGGGTAGCGTGTGTACCACACCAGCTAGGCCATCCTGACTAACCAATGTTCCAGTTGCAATGTCTGACAGGTATACCACCAAGTCTTCCTGTGAAAAGAGCGAGAGAGACAGATCCCAAGAAAGGTGAGAAAACCAGTCAGCCCATCACAAAAGCTTTAGTTTTTACAACATTTTGTGTGATAATCAATGTCATTTGAACAAACATTGTAGTTTGCTCAACTCCACATCCTGATATTTTAACACCTGCTCCAATGTTTCCCTGTCCACACAATCTGTTCACAAATTGTGAACTTCGCCACAGTTGAAGCAGTATTTCCACAAATGAAACCCCATCCTTGTCAAAGAATCTGCTCACTGAAAGCACTTATGTCCACTCCACTTATTTGCCTTACGCAAGCTCTGAGATGTGGATTTTATTTCACTTTCAAAAACAGAAAAAAACACACAAGTGGAAAACAGTATTGACGCAACACCACTTCCGTTTGTGACGCAAGACCAGAGCTCTGCTTGCATAAACACTTCTTGATGTCCAAGGGGACGTTACTGACATGGCAAGGACTTGCTTTCAAAATAACCACACAAAAAAATTATTAAAAAAAAAAATAATCAAATCAAATCAAATAACACAAAAGAAAGTAGTTTGATCAAAGTACTGTTCATAACAAGCCTGGCCTGAGACTATAAACCACTGATTAGATACATGTAAATGGAAAAAGCCTAATTCAAGCATGGGGAGATCAGCGCCGATCTGGTGCACAAAATCCTCAGGGGGAGGGAGAGATTAATATGTTGTAATTGAAATGTCAGCGAGCTTTGATTTCATCATTGAGTGGTCCTCTTTCAGTGTCGCGACATTTGAGACAGATTCCTGGGATGTACGGACGCATACAATTCTGGCTCATGAGCACGCGCGTGCTCTTTTGCGCCCGGTGGACATGGCGGACTGGACACTAACTACAGTAAGCTGCTAACAACAGTAAATGGATTTGACAGCAAACTAACTGTATTTGCAAAAGTCACAGTTTAGTTTGGGAATGTACAAAAGCAACATTTTTTCTCAGCAGGGATTAAGTACATGAACCAAAAAGACCACCACCGACAGGAGACCAAAGCCACTTTCATGTACAAGTAATGCTGCCGGCCTGCCCGTGAGAAATCACCAGTCTCAACATTGTATAAGTCCTGGGCACAACACTGTTTTCTTACAGTCTTTCATGTGCTGTAGATGAATACCTATAAGCTGCACATAACTGCAAGTTCTTCCCTTGTTCTTTTCAGCAACTATTTCTTCTCAAAAAAGCTCCTTGTGCACATTCGCTCTATTAAAGTTTTTTCTTTTTTACTTCTACTTCTTATCCAGGGCAAGTACACGTAGTTGGAATGCAGTTGCAAGTTAAAAATACCTTTATCGTCCCTGCAGACACAATTGAGCCATTGCTTATTCACACAGGAAGACATTAAAGCACTTGCTGGAAATTCATACATGTACAAATTACATGTCCATGTACATGGCGAGTCAGGTTTGCACAGTGGAACTTGTCTTCCATCTCTGTGACCCGGGTTCAATTCCCACCTGTTGTGGGTCAGTATGTGGATTGGATTTCTGTCCCTACCTGATCCCATGGGTTCCCCTCCCACCCACTCAAAAACTGAACATTCTTCATTCTCCTACATGTACCTGGTATATCAACAGACCCCACTGGAAATATAAACCGAAAGACGTTCATGTACTGTCCCAGCCATAAAATAAAATAAAATAAATACACATGTATAAGTTTATACAATTGACAGCCAACATTTTGTGTACTGCTGTGAATGAACTCTGAATGGAAGAGCTACTCACTGTGTTTTGTAATGTGATTCCTACGGCATCTCTCACTGCTTCTCTTAACTGGTCCCAGCTTGTGACTCCGCCCAGCCTCAGCAAAATATCCTAATTGGAGAGAGAAAAGGAAGAAACTCAGAGTATAAAACAGAGTAACGGGGAAAGTGTCGATATTGAAATGAAGCTACAATTCCATGGAGATCACACCGAGGTCCTGTACCATGTGCCTGAGAGTAGAGCATGTGTGGTTACCTGGCAATTTTTCAACAGACCCCTTGCACTTGGTACTCAGTAACAATTCCTTTGACATGGCAAGGAACCAATGAAAAAAAGGGACGTGCAACCCCTAAATATTGCTCCTTTCTATGTCAGTGATCACATAAACTGCACACCCATATCTTTTCATCCGCTATGCCGGTACATGATGCAGTTACAGGAGCCAGTCTTTACAGTCCTCCTGTGGTTTCCTGTGATGATTTTATTGCTCAATCTGATCCGGGTCGTGAGTTCCTTAATGAAGCCCTTGGCTGCATCAGTTGCAGTTTGGTCGGGATTGTCTCTGCCATCAATAGCTTTTTGGGGGGGAATAGGTTATACTCTCAATGATGTATGACTAATTCAGGTAATGCTCTCACTTCAAATCTGACTTGGAGTATGTTACGCCAGGTACAGGCTCAGCATTTGCCACATCAACAGAGAAATGACCTTACGGCGCCTTTACCTGGCACAAGGTGTCAAAATAGCCCAGACAATCACAGACTTGGATTGGGAGGAACTACATGGTGGCGGGTCTAGCCAGGCAGCATATGTAATGCAATTAAAATTGAAGGGGGAAAAATGTATGTGTGCAGTATTGTACATGTACACTTGAAATGCACTGGTCACAGAATGATAACTGTCATGACTCTCCTCCGTTTTGGCTGGAAATTAAAGTAGTGCACTATGCCACACGTGACACTCTATGAAAAGGAAAACATCAACCACATAACATTCACATTTGCTAATGGTTCTTAATACAGGCGTTTCACAATAGTGCACCTCCAAGAGTATGCAACACGTTGACCAATCACAATGCAAGAAATCTGTTGACCCTTTCCAAACACGCATTGGGTCGACAGATTCCGCACATTGGATGCGCGTTGCAAACTCTTGGAGGCGCACTATTGTGAATTGCCCATATTGGAAAGCCATTAAAGAAATAACCATACACACTGTTACGTGTGTATGTCTGTTGCAAGTGTGTACTGGTATAAGACAGAGATGTTCTTAACTCAACTCCTTCCCCTATTCCTCCACCCAACAGAAAAATTCTACATATCCAACAGAGAAAAATGGCCTGAAAGTTTCCTTGCCCAAAATCCCCATCCAAAGGAAAACACCACCACAGAGTCTCTTCCATAAGGGATCAGAGAGCACCTCACCCTCCTAAACAACTTCAATGATAAAGGCACTGGGAGATTTCCACTGTGCGCAGATAAATTCAGTCGCTTCTTTCCTTTCAGTTTGACATACTCACACAGGACAGGTTTCCCCCTTCACTTCTCCAAATATGATCCCTCCTTTATTCAGGCAATTGGTCAGTGTATTTGCACATGTCTGAACAGCCTATACATGAAAAGTACACAAATATCCCCTCCTGGCCAAGACACACAGCAATGCACTTACAAAATACTTTCCCTGACAAAATACCCTCGAAAGCAATCCATAAATGTGAAGCGCCAAGGCTTCGTGAGCAATCCTCTTCAAAAGAGGCAGCATTGCTGATGCTTGTAGTGGGTGGGAAAACCATACCTTCTCAAATCACCTACCCTATCATCAGGGGAAAAAAAAAACAACCAAACAAACAAATGCCCCCTCTCCTAAAAGAAAAAAAAGGCTAAATATTAATCTAATTGGCTCGGGATTGAGCTGGCACTTTTTTGGAGCGATGTTGACTCAATCAATTCGGGGGGCATTAGCGTGCAATACTAATCAGTCGGTCGGTACTGTGTGATCTGTCATGAGAGTTTACACCGCTGCTGTCAGCCCAAGGAAGGCCCAAGGAAGGCTGTGGAGCATGCAGGCAAATGACCGCGTCCCAAGGGGTCTTGCAAAAACAGTTTCCTCCCTGTCAACAGTTGCAGCCCGAAGCATGCCCGACTTGACTACACTCCTGTGCAGGTGCCCAGATCAATTTGTAATTAATGGATATGGACAAACAAATGTACACACTTGTGTACAGTACATACTACATCTGTAGGCCCTCGACGTTTCTCACTGGTACTCCTCTGTTCAAACCCTAAGCACACAACATTGAAAAGTACTTGGTAGTGAAACCATTTGAAATCAACAATGAAAGCATTGTAAATGCTACACACATGTATCCACCAGTACAGCATACCGATACATGTACTTTCTTCTGCTTAAGATTTATGTAATAATCATAAAAATATTTATAAATTGTATTGTGTGGCCTGGAACATGTGCATACACTGGTAAGAATTACCGGTGTATACAGGATTGACTAGAAACAGAAAGAAAGAGCAAAATATCACAAATATCCAGTTTTAAAAGTAGAAAGTATGTGGACATATTTGGCAAGCAAGTACTGTTACATGTTACCGTAAAATCTCAAGGTCAGGGAATGCTGACAATTACCAAGTTATCCAAGAGACAGAATCACAATCCTCGGCGAGCATTCGAGCCGTGTGCTCCGGGCTGACTCTACATGTAATTATTGAGACATGTATTCATGCACAGAGTAGCAATTTATTCATTCAAAGCGATGCTTTCATTTGACATAACAATGCACCACAAAGAAACTCGTATCATATCGTGGACATCACCTCAAACGCTGGTTGGGGGGATGGAACACAGACAGACAACACAGACAGAAATTGTAAGTGGTTACACTGGTGCAAAAGAGGAAATGTCTCAGAGTGAAAGCCAAATATCGCTTAGCCTACAGTTGAATTTTCGCAACCAAAAAGCTGCTTACACACATTTGCGATATATGTGCAACACCTGCAGACTGGTTAATGTCAGTTACAAAAGTTTAGACACTGGATGGACCAAATTCAAAATCGGCTGAAGCAGATGGGACGCGCAATGTACTGTTTACAACATGGTGAACATTAGATGGAGAAATCAATCACCAATTTAGCCTCCAAAATCCTCCATGCATAGTACTGGTAAATTCTAAGTCAAAGAAGCCGACACAACACTGCCAATTGCCAGATTAGGTTACATCAACCACAAATGTGCCCAACAATATTTGTCATCAAATTTATGCAACAGCCATATGTGACCAGCTGTAGAAAAATGGGTACTAAGCCAGATTCAGGTTACGAATTTTTATACACATGTATGGCTGGATTCTGTACATCAAAAGCTATGATTTGATATATGAATGACCCCTGTAGTGTGCTGTGTTCTGGAGATACCGGTATATAGACATTTGTATATCCCCATTTTCAGATTTATTAAAAGTACTTTTGAGAAAAAGCTCATAAAGTGTAGCGCCTGGAAACACAGTGTTACAGTGTATATGGTGGGATTTCCTACTGAATGATTAATTTTTCATCTTTATTCATCAGTATCCATGTTTGCAGTCACAAATTCTAAAAATAAATATTACAGAAGCTGTTAAAGGAAAAAACACAAAATCACATTTTTAAAGGAAATTTTGCCCTCTCCAAATAGAACAGGCCATTACACGTTCTGGCACTGTGCGACTGAAAACCCTTTTTTGCAGAGCAGGTCACATATATAACGCAGCCTTTCAGGTTTCCTGAAAGGCTGACGTCAGAGAGACGCCATGCAGGTAATTGCAGGGGACTCCAGGCTACAGCTTTTGGGTTGTGATAACAATGCGTCAATGTGAGCATACGAAAGAAGGATTAGAAGCCCGAGTCAAGTCCGTAGTCTGACACTGCTCAACTCTCATGGTGGCAAATACTCTGAAAGGGTAACAACATTGCACTAGACACAGAAAAACTCTCCTTACTCCACTCCTTTTCTTGCGTACCCGTGTCATTTGTTGACAAGTTTTTAGTTTAAATCTAATTTTGGGTTTTATGAACATTTCCATAAGTTGGCATGCCCTTTCTCCATCGAGCAACGTATGATGGCATCCTCTACACATACTAAAGTAGTTCAATGGCCTACAAAACCTTAAAATTACAGGTGAAACTGTCAAGTTTTTGATTGAGAAGACACAATTTCTACATAAATCCATCACTGTTGCCAGTTTATCCACATACAAAGTATGTGTGTACCGGTAGATCCTGGATGTTGCTCATTTTACTTGTGACCTGCTGTCAAACGAGCAATTTTGGGAGTTGTGACACCTGCCACGTGTCTGGAAGGTTGATAACAGTGGTGAGGTCAATAACGCAAGTGCCACACATGCATCAGTACATGTGCTGCACCCATGGAGCGTGTGATGCCGTAAAACCTAGTGGATGAAAAAACGGTACACCTGAGAAAAATTGGTTAAGGTCTGAAACAGGGGTGCTGTAAAACCGGGGGTTGTTCGCGCGTATGTGTGGGTCTTTTTGCATATTTTACATCATTACGTATACACAAAAGCAGTACACTATTTCTGCATACTGCACATGTATTTGATAATATTTTTACGGGACATACAGCACATGTACAGTGTACACGTATACATGTACACGTTTGTGTGTTACATGTACATGTAGTCTTCATGGAAGCCAAGCACCCCCTCACACATTTACAAAATAAAGATGGAAAGCTTACTTGATTTTGAGCCCACACTGGGAGTTTTCCAGCAGACAGAGGTATCCTCCACACGAAGCGAAGCGAAGCGTAATATTGAAAAAGGCTCCTCAGCAAGCTGTGCTGGAGGTGTGAAATGGCAATTTAACACCCTCCCTAAATACTGCCACTTATAAATGCTTAGTCAACTTCTTACTGAAGCATTACCTTGGTGACCACGAACTGATCGTTGAGGACAGGCAGTGGGGATTACTGATGCAGAACGCGCAGGCAATTAACCGCCACAATGGAATTTTAAAGTGGAGGGAGATAAGGCCTTGAGAGGCCAACCTTGACCAGGAGCCAAGTCAATGTTTGCAAAGCATACCCGAACGAAAAAGTGTGGA